GAGAATACATTTTGGCCTAAATTTATGATGAAATTAGATTTTGTTTTTTTTACTGGACATGTTTTATAGCAAATGTCAAAAATATTGGGGGGTTTTCAGAATTTTCTGTCTTTTTTTTTTTTTTTTTTTTTTTTTTTTTTTTTTTATAGCGCAAAAAGTTAAAACTGCACAGGTGATCAAATACCACCGAAGCTATATTTGTGGGGGGAAAAAATTACATCCATCCTCTCTGCTCCTCTTACGACCTCCTGCTCTCTAGCGCCCTTGTCTCCTCCTCCCATACTTGTCTCCAAGACTTCTCCAGAGCCTCCCCCATCCTCTGGAACTCTCTACCTCAATCTATCAGACTATCTCCTACTCTGCACACTGTTAGGCGATCTCTTCAGCGAAGCCTATTCTGCCTTCAGCTAATAATGGAATCTTTTATTCCTTCTACCCGTCCATCCCCCACAGTTATTACCTTTTGTAACATCAGCCCCTTCCTCTTAGATTGTAGGGCTCTCCTAACCCTCTTGTATTGAACTGTATTGTTGCTGTATTGTCTCCCTTTATATTGTAAAGCGCTGAGCAAACTGTTGGCGCTATATAAATCCTGTATAATAATAACAATTTAATTTATGTACAGTGTTGCATGACCGCGCAATTGTTAGTTAAAGTAACGCAGCACCGTATCGCAAAAAAATGGCCTGGTCAGGAAGGGGGGAAATCCTCTGGATGGCAAGTGGTTTAAAACAGCTAAACTAAAGCTGCAATGGCAATGCAATGGATCCACGCTTTGCTAAGAACTATGTGACAGTTTAGCTGATAAGGACGGCAGCTGTTTCCATGCTCATTTATTCAGAATGACATGATGAAAAGTGCTGTTCAAAAAGTGCAAGAGATGACAAGAATAGACACTCTGACCTACAGATATTTCATGTCTGTTTCTTCAAGGAATTTACAAGATTGATCTATGCATCCTGTGACATCGTAAATAGAGATTTGTGTATGGTATGTTGCTGCCCCCTAGTGGAAGTCGCCTGTAGGTTCATCGTTCATGATGGCAGAACCATAGCTTATCTAATAAGCTCTACATTATATATATATATATATATATATATATATATATATATTTTTCAGGTACTTATATAACGCCGTCAATTTACGCAGCGCTTTACATATATATTGTACATTCACATCAGTCCCTAACCCTCAAGGGGTGTACAATCTAAGGTCCCTAACTCACATTCATACATACACATACTAGGGTCAATTTAGACAGGATCCAACTGGCCTACCAGCATGTCTTTGGAGTGTGGGAGGAAACCGGAGTACCCGGAGGAAACCCACACAGGTACAGGGAGAACATGCAAACTCCAGGCAGGTGAGGCCGTGGCTGGGATTCGAACCGACGACCCTAGTACTGCCAGGTGGAAGTGCTAACCACTTAGCCACTGTGCTGCCCAACATTTATTCCAGTTGTGGATTCATTACAGCTCTTTGTTTTTATAGTAACCTGTAATGCCCTGCATCAAACTCCGTCTGGAAAAGGAGTTAGTAGGAATCCAATCAAATCGAGCTGTTATGCATTGCACGGTGCTGTCCATCTAATGCAAAAGAGTTGACTAATAGGAGGAGAGAGCACAGGAATATTCTAATGGGTGACCTGCAGATCATTTGTTATACATTCACAGGCTGTGAGCTCTTTGGACATGCCTGGTTCAGCCAGAGCTCAGGGAGTTAAAACCGCTCACAGCTACAGTGGCAGCTGATTAGGTTGCATTTAGGTCTAGCAAACATAGAAAAGAAGATCTTACCTACTACTTTGTGCTGATAGACCGGACCCTGCAACATCTTCTTCCCTATGCTCTGGCGGTCTAAGCTCCTGAGGACATCATGACCCTGTAGGTCCATAGCTCTGCATTGGACAAGATGACGTCATGTGATAGTCCACCACTGGAACATAGGGTAGCGCCGTCTGCTGGGGAATGGAGGATCAGGTAAGTTAACCACTTTGTATAGAAAACCATCAGCACAACGAAAATCTCCTAAATAGATGTGCAGCTAGCATATAATGTGTTCCTACATATAACAAAGTAAATAAAGTGAAGAAAATGCAGCACAACAATAAATTATATATATTTTTATTGTTGCGCCGCATTTGCTTCACTTTATTTACTAAGTTAACCACTTGCCCGACCGCCTTACCTAGGAGTACAGTTACAGAGCAGCTCTCCTGCGCAGGTCACATATCTAATACGTGATTCAGCTCTTCTGGGTTCTGGGTAGGGGGGGCGCATGCGCCGCTCTGGCTGTGCCGTGATTAGTCAATCATTGGCCGGGACCTGCTGATCGGTGAAGAGGATGACAGGACAGAGCTCTGTGCTGACAGCGGAGAAGAGCCAGTTTTTGTTTCCCTGCAAAGCAGGGAATAAAAACAGGCACGTCCCTTAGTAAAAAAAAAAAAAAAAAACACGCAGTACACATACACAAAGCCCTGTTGGGCACACAGTTAACACCCCTAGATGTTAACCCCTTCCCAGCCAGTGTCAGTACAGTATCAGTGTATAATATTAGCACTGATCACTGTATTGGTGTCACTGGTTCCCACAAAGTGTCAAGTGTTAGTGTCAGATGGCCAACCATACTATCACAGTATTGCTATAAGTCGCTGATCTCTACTATTACTAATATAAAAAAAAAATTGCAGTATATATACCATAATTTGTAGATGCTATAAGTTTCTCACAAACCAATCAATATACACTTATTGGGAGCATGCAGCAGAATACATTTTAGCCTAAATTTATGATGAAATTTGATTTTAAATTTTTTTATTGGATGTTTTATAGCAGAAAGTTAATTTAATTTTTTTGTTTATGTACTAAAAAAATACAAAACCCAGTGGTGATCAAATACCACCATAAGAGAAAGCTCAATCTGTCTAAAAAAAAAAATGACAAAAATTTCATATGGGTACGGTGTTGCATGACTGTGCAAATGTCAGTTAAAGTAACACCGTACCGAATCACGAAAAATGACCCGGTCATGAAGGGGGGAAAATCCTCTGAAGGGCAAGTGGTTAAGGTGTTTTTAACGGTACTATGATGTTTAAATGGCTCCTGAGGGATATGGAAGGTACAATCAACTATCCCAGACCTGTTTTTGAGCCAGAAAACTGCCCCTCATTAGGCGGGGACATAGAATTATAAGTACTCATGTGATCACAGCAATCTGTTAATAAAAGGATTGTTAGGTGTGGCTTTAACTTTTTTTTTAACTAATTTCTAATTTTTTTTTTTTTTTTTTAGACTTCTGGTTTTGAAAAGATTACATAGGATTTTTATTACGTTTAGGATAGGTGAACTTCGAGACTTTAATGCAGTCATTGTTTTCTGGATAGTATTCAAGGCTGAATGCCCACTCTGCCGAACTGACATCTGTCCATGAAGACATTTTAAGGCTGGCCATACATTATACAATTTTCTTGAGATTTTTGGTTTAGATTTACCAAAAAACAGTGGCGGTCAGACAACTCATGGGGCCCCCCGGGCAATAGGGGATCATGGGGACCCTGTGTCCTTGCCCAAACTCAAAAAAGCCTATGAAAAAGGTACCAGTGGCATCTCATGGGTCCCCCTACTGACCCCGGCCCTCGGCAGTGCCCGAGTTTCCAAATGGTCAGTCCGCCCCTGACCAAAAACCATATAATATGAGGTCAAACCTAACAACACTTTCAATTGTATCCAATTAGGCAGACTCTTGTACTACATAGTTGAAGGTAAATCTAAAGGAAATTGGACAGAAAATTGTATGGTGTATGGCCAGCCTTAGTCCTCCCAAGAACCAGCCTTATAGTTTCATCAGGTGTGAGGGCTCTTAAATCTTCTTAAGCTTTAAAATTTATTAAAACAATAAGCAGGTCATACGTACCTGCTCTGTACATTGGTTTTGCACAGAGCAGCCCCGATCCTCCTCTTCTGGGGTCTCCCACCGGCGCTCCTGACTCCTCCCTCCTCCCGTGTGCCCCCATAGATAGTAGCTTGCTAAGGAGGCACTCGTGCATGGTTGTTCCCAAGCCGGGCTGTTCAGACACAAAGCCCAGCTTGGCCCCGTCCACCGCTCTCTCTCCTCCCAGGTTTTGACTGACAGTAACAGGAGCCAATGGCTCGCGGTACTCTCAGCCAAGCCTGGGAAACGGGAGAAGAGCTGCTGCTGATGTGCACAGCACTGGATCGAGATCAGACTCAGGTAAGTATTTAAGGGGGCTGCCGGGTGAGCTAATATTAAAAGGATTTTCTACCTTAATGCAGTGGATGCATTAAGGTAAAAAACAAAACCTTTTACCTTTACAACCACTTGAATAGAAGTACTGAGACAGAGTGCTGTGAAGGTTTTAGTAAGCTATGTACCAAACACTGCCGTCCCCTCCCACCAGCTATGATCTGCCTGCATTGCTTAGAGATGCATAGAGACCCAGGGATGATATCACTGGGTCTAAAATAAGGTATGCCATAAAAACAGGATTCTGTTTCATGTTCATATTATCATGTTTGGTGATGGGGTTGGGAGAAACCAGGGAAAGCAAAATCTAAGCAGGTCAAACTTGAGCTAAAAAGCTTTGTGTCATCTAGTGCAGCACAGTGGCTAAATGGTTAGCACTTCTGCCTGGCAGTATTAGGGTTGTTGGTTTGAATCCCAACCACGGCACCACCTGCCTGGAGTTTGCATGTTCTCGCTGTGCCTGCGTGGGTTTCCTTCGGGTACTTCGGTTTCCTCTCACACTCCAAAGACATGCTGGTAGGTGAATTGGCTCCTGTCTAAATTGTCCCTAGTATGTGTATGTATGAATGTGAGTTAGGGACCTTAGATTGTACACCCCTTGAGGGTTAGGGACTGATGTGAATGTACAATATATATGTAAAGTGCTGAGTAAACTGAGTGCTATATAAGTACCTATAATAAATAAATAAATCTCTTTCAATAGCAGTCCAGCTGCAAGTGAAGAAGCTCCAGTGGAAGTAAAGGTTGTCGCTCCAGAGCCAGTGAAGAAACCCATCAAAGCAAAAAATGTCATCAAGGAGATAGAGCTGATCACCGTGCAGGAGTTCGAAAAGGTCCCTGCGTAAGTAGGAATATAAAATGGAAGAACATTGGCACCCAGAAATGGGCACATTTGATTTGGCTGTTCTTGTCTGCTGTCTCATGTTGTAGGTGTTTGTTCCTCTCTCTGCGTGCCCCCAGAGCCCCTGAGGAGTCCTTGCTTCCTCCAGAATGTTTGCTTTCTGATCCAGCTTTGGGCTTTGCACTAACGTGTCTGGTTCTAATGCTGTCCATAGGCTTCTGTGGTTTTCAGAGACTCAAAGCAAGCCATACGTTTTCACCCTGCAAATCTGGTAGCTGCAGCCTCAGTCCAAGATGGCTCTGGTCTCTGATGCCTGCTTACTAGACTGTATATCTGCAGCTTGTACTGCCGTCCACCACAGGTCCAGTCTCCCATTGGCTGACCATTGCTATGAAATTTTTATTTTCATTAAAGTGTAATTCCAGTCAAATTCTAAATAAGACAAAACCCTACTCCCACCCCCATTCTAAGACTATTCTATATACCCTGTGAAAGAAAAGATGGTCATATTGATTTTCTGAATGCTCGTACGTTTCCTTCATGGGAGTCTCTCTGAGAATCAAGGGGGCTCCCGCTACGGGAATATTATCAGTCTTTGCAATTGCGCAACTGGGTCCTATCCCTCCGTCGTACTTCTACATACCCTTACCACAAAACATCCTTTGAATACGTTTGTCAGCACTCCCCGGGGTCCCCTGGTCTCATTTCTGTAATTTATGCCTCCCTTAACAGTAGGTCTTCCTCATCGCCCCTGTCTTATGTCTCTCAATGGGAGCGAGATCTGGGTGGCTCGATTGCAGTGGAGGATTGGCGTAGGGCCTGGGTGATGGTGTCGAAATGTTCAGTCAATACAGGCCCTCTTGCGGTGGTACTGGGTCCTGGCTCGGATTGCTCACTTTAATCCAACTGGCAGAGATACATGTTTCTGGAACTGTGGTCTACGCGGGGACGTCTTGCACATTTGGTGGTTGTGCCCGCGATTGACAGGCTTCTTCTGGTCTAGGGTTTTTGGTTTGCTATTTCACATTCCGGTCCGTAGGGATGCAAGGGTGGCCCTTCTGCACTGCCCAATTTTGGCATGAAATTGGCATCCTACCTATTTATTTCGGCCAAACGTGCTATAGCTCAAGCTTGGAGAACCCCTTCGGTTGTCTTCCAGGAGGTGAAGACCCAGATGAATGATATGTTGATCAATGAACAGATGTCTAGCATTCTTCAGGATTCTCATCCAAGATTCCTTAAGGTTTGGGAACCTTGGATACGATGTTCCTTTCCATCCCTGCCCCCTACTAGTTATGGCCTCTTGTAGTTACTGCCTGTGCTAGCCCTGGATCCGTGATATTCCTAGTCTCCCTTTCCTCTGTTTTTCAGATTTTTTTTTTTTTTTGTCATTTTTATTTTCTTTTTCCTTTCTTCTAACCTTTTTTCTTTCCTCTTCTCTTTGTGGTATTATGTTGGACTACTGCTGATAATATTTGGTTCGGCTTTTTGCCGTCCTCCCTTGCTGTCATTGGACATTTTGTTATTTGGCTAATACAAGTCAGCAGGATGTATCTGTTTCTGTGTTCTTGTTTTGCTCGGTCCCTGCGTGGGCGTATATTGAGCTTGTTGTGTTCCTGAAACAAAACTTTCTTAACAAGAATATTGAAACAGAAATGATGCTCATATTTACCTATTCTGAAGCTGCTCCGGTCACATGATCGGGCCCCAGTGCCGGCTTTATTGTGGAGGAGGGACAGCCGACAACCTGGGCAGAACCTGGGCGATGATGTCACGCTTAGACTTACTATAGGGAATTCATTGTCAGCTGTCCCTCCTCTACACTGAAGCCAGCGCTGGGGTCTGATCATGTGACTGGCCTGAAGTGGCTTCAGAATTTTAGACATCTTTTCTTTCACAAGGTAGATAGAATATTCTTAAAATTGGGTAGGAGTAGGTTTAGCCCGGGTTCACACTGCGGTTTGGTTCGCACTAGAATTGCATCATTCACACCTATGGGATCTGACTCTGCACATTGCACCGCGTTTTGTGGACCGATTTCGGAGTGTTGTTAACTTAATATACACACCTGCAGTGGTTCGCATGAACTGGGTGCAATTGTGATGCGATGCGGAATTCACACAGACACTGCTGCGAATTCCACACCGCAGTGTGAACCCGGTCTCAAGTGCGAATTCCGCATCGCATCACAATTGCACCCTATTCATGCGAACCACTGCAGGTGTGTATATTAAGTTAACAACACCCCGAAATCGGTCCACAAAACGCGGTGCAATGTGCAGAGTCAGATCCCATAGGTGTGAATGATGCAATTCTATTGCGAACCAAAAAAGGGTCCTGCACCTTTTTGGTGCTGATGCGGTGCAATTTGAGCCATACAAGATGTATGGCTCAAATTGCACTGCACATAATTCGCATGTGATTTGCCCAGGAATGCGGTGCGGTTCCACATGCGATATGCTGCACCACATCAGTGTGAACCCGCGCTGAGCCTTGGTTACAGTTTGACTGCAATTACAATTTATTGAACACTAAGGGGTTTATTTACTAAAGCTGGAGAGTCCAAAATCAGACTCCCTTCTGCATAGAAACCAATCAGCTTCCAGGTTTCATTGCCAAAGCTTCATTGAACAAGCTGAGGTTAGAAGCTGATTGGTTTCTATGCAGAAGGGACTCTGATTTTGGACTCTCCAGCTTTAGTAAATAAACCCCTAAGATACAAGCTATCCAGCCTTGTGCATATCATATAGCTGTGAGGTGGAACCAAAAGCCCCACCTAAAGGAAAGATTTTGGGTGTTCTTTTTCTCCTTTTTTTTTTTTTTTTTTTTCTCCCCTTTTCTCCCCTTCTTTTTTTTTTTTTTTTTTTTTTTTTTAAGGATGTGTCCACTACAACTTGATAAGTGAGTTTTGGATGGTTGTGGAAGGTTAAAGCATCTACAAGATCGTTCTAGCATTCAGGTATCTCTAGGGAATTCTGAACACAAAATCCAAGTCGTCATCTAGTCTGCACATGGACTTCCTACTAAGCTTTGTGTGCAAGAGCGCATTGACTGCTATGTGACACATTCAAGGCTGGGCATCGGTGAAGCTTGCAGTCAACTGAAAACTTGCAATGTGATTGATTAGCTGTTCAATCTGCTTCTCTTTGGCAGATATATGAAGAACCGTCTGACATACGAACAGATTAACAGCCTTATTGAGGAAATCAACAAGGCTGTTGTGGGAAAATACAAGATCATGCATCAGCCGCTGAAGAGTCTGAACAATTTTGCCAAGAAACAGCTTGGACGATTTAAAGATGAAGAATTAAAAGATACAAAAGGTAGCTTATATCTAGATGGTGGAAAATGTAGGAAAGTGATTTTCTCTAAATCGATAGAGAAAACAAGACACAAAAAAAAAAATGCAGCCTCCAAAACCTTCATATCACCAGCAAATGTCGAGCCATACTAATAGGTAAAGCTTTGACACTTAATAGAGAGAACTACATCTTACATTTAATGGGATTTTTAAGGCAACATCGGAGTATACACATAGAAACCAATTATTTAAAAGATCCACATTTTATTTAAACAGATTTCTTTTGTTTGGCAAATCGGCACATATAACAGTAGATATTGCATATTAACCAATATAAAATACAAGTTTTAACCACTTCCAGTCCGGACACTTTTACCCCCTTCCTGTCCAGGCCAATTTTTAGCTTTCAGCGCTATCACACTTAGAATGACAATTGCGGTCATGCAACACTGTACCCATATGAATTTTTTAGCATTTTTTTGAGATAAAAATCTATTTTTGGGTGGGATTTTTTTTTTTTTTTTTTTTTTTTTTTTTGCTATGTAAATGAAAAAGTTCCAAACATTTTGAAAAAAAGTGTTTTTCTTATAAAATTTTGCAAATAAATAGTATTTCATCATAAATCTTGGCCAAAATTTATTCCATTATCTTTTAGTAAAAAAAAAAAAATAACCCAAATTACTTTATAACCAAAAATTATAATTTTTAAACATTTTGTTTTTACATTTTTTTTTTCTATTTTTTTTCTATTTATTTATTTTTTTTTTTTTTTACATACTGTCACCCTAGCAGTACAGTGTCACCATGGTGACATTGTACTACTTGTGGAGGGTGGTGAAGATTTTTTTTTTTTTTTTTTTTACACTGATTGCTTTTACAGCCTTTATGGGTGTAAAAGCAATCATTTCTTCTCTGGCTGCATTCTTGCAGCCATTGAGAACTACTGTGTGAGCTGTGATTGGTCACAGCTTGTCACATGCTACAAGACTGTTGTGAATAGCCCTGTACCATGTGACCTCTGTGATCATTCACAGATTTCACACGTAGTAAGCAATGATGTCAGAAGAGACATCTTGCTTACTACTCTGCATGTGATCTCTGATTGGCCAATCAGTGATCACATGATCGGGACCTCGCACAGAGGTCCCGTATGATGATCGGTGTTCCACTGTGTCCAGAGGAAACAGCGGGCACCGTATCGCGGTGCTGCCCGCTCCCAGGGAGCGTGCACAAGCAGGGGGCGGGGAGGCCGTTTATAAACGGCCACCCGACCCTGCACTGCCACCGTCCGGCCGTTTATATACAACGGCCGGACGGGAGGTGGTTAACAACTAATTTACTTAGAGAAATTGTAGTTTGTTGCAATATGTATCCAGTGGTATCCCCCAAGGCTGATTTCCATCTTGCAACCTGAAGGTGTGACTGCAGATATATTCAGCCTGGGATCCAGCGCGTTTCAAATGTATCAACACAAATTCTTCCTCAGGGAAAGGATACCACTCTATAACAATAATTATTATCAATGATCAATTATTAGTAAATGTCTTTATAATTATATAATGGTAAAATGAACCATGTAGAGTACACGACTTACCTAACCACCACAAATAATCAACAGAAGATGTTTCAGTATGTTAGAAGGCGAGTCTCCTCCAAGAATGAGGCCATCAATTTGACGTGTAAGGACCACGGGTGCCACATCACAAACACTGGCATAACAGAACATATATATTTTATATATACGTTAGTCAGTTCCCCCCCAGTGTCAGAATGCCAGCCGCAGTCCCGCTATACGTCTCTGATCGCCGCTATTACTAGTACAAAAAAAAAAAACCCCTGTATATTCCGCCATTTGTAGACGCTATAACGTAAACCTATTAATGTACACTTATTTTTTTTTTTTTGTAGCAAAGACATGTAGCAGAATACATTTTGGCCTAATTTTATGAAGAAATTAGATTTTTTTTTTTTTTTACAAAATGTTTTATAGCAAAAAAGTCAAAAATATTTTTTTAAACAATTGTCTTTTTTTTGTTGTTTATAGTGCAAAAAATAAAAACAGCAGAAGTGATCAAATACCACTGAAACAAAGCTCTACTTGTGGGAAAAAAAATGACATAGATTTCATTTATGTACAGCGTTGCATGACCGCGCAATTGTCAGTTAATGTAACGCAGCACCATATTGCAAAAAATGGCCTGGCCAGGAAGGGGGGGTAAATCCTCTGGAGGGTAACCCTTCCCAGTTAATTAGCTCTCATCTGTTCAAGGAAAGGTCACAAAAACCTTACTAAGGGCTCGTTCACACTTGACTGTTTTTCCAACTCTTGCCAAACGCCCCTATAGCGTTTGACAAGCGTTGGTCCGGCGTTTGCGAAGCATTTTTTAACGCTCCGCAAACGCCGCATGCGCGGTTTAGCTGCGTTTGCCGAGCATTAAAAACACTCCACGAACGCCTATAATGAAGTTTGAATGGTGTTAATGCTGCGCAACCGCGCCGCAAACGCCGGCCGGGCGTTTGCGGAGCGACACCATAGACTTGAATAGGAGGCTTCAACTCCTCTCCTGACTTGACCAGAGGCGCCCTTTTTGCCGCGACGCGAACGCTCCCGTGTGAACAGCACCATGTGCTGCAATGTGCAGAATTTTCACAGGCGTTTGGGAAACGGTAAAAAGCGCTTCCCAAACGCCTGTCTGCCGCTTGCTAACAAGGCTAGTGTGAACGTAGCCTTATGCGTTTTTTTTTTTTTTTTTCTTTGATACCCACCTATCCTGAGTATTTGGCTGATGGATTTTTTTTTAAATTGATCAGTAAAACAAGGGCTTCTACATCTAACCAGATTCAAGCAATGCCTTTAAGATAGATTGGAGAGGAAAAAAACAGTTGTCAGTTTTTATTGCTGTCTTTGCCCCCATTAGGGAGATTCTCCCTTTTGTATTGTATACCATTGTTATCAAAAGTAAGAGAAAATCCCAAAAGTTTGAGTTGACACCAGAACAGTAATAGAGGGGAAATCTTCCAATGGGGACACTATTTCTGGTGACTGCCAGAGATTCCCTCACTTTGGAGGGATTTTCTCTCACTTCCTGTTTGGTTATGGAACAGGAAGAATGGATATCCCCTCCATGGGGACACAGATGGGAAGAAACCATAACATGCGGTATAACGGTCCCTTACACTATATCAAAAATGGGGAAAAAAATATTTTTTTTACATTTAGGTACACCATCTTTGTCAGGAGGCCCTCTGTCCATCAGAATGATTTTGGAAACTTTGGATGCAGGTGGCAAAAAAAACACAAGAGTTATAACCTTCTCTTGCTCTATTCAAAATGGGGGAAAAAAATGTTTTTTGCCTACAGTTCTACTTTTAGTAGCCAGCTTAGGCCATCCGTACTGTCTAGAGCAGGGGTGTCAAACTGGTGGCCCTCCAGCTGTTGCGGAACTACAAGTCCCATCATGCCTCTGCCTTTGGGAGTCATAAAACAAATATGCAGTGCTATAAACAAAGTGACTTTGTGCAAAAGGCGCAAAAATTGACTGCGCAGTAATAGTGAAATCCAAAAAAAAAAATACCGTCAACAAGGTGACAAGTGCAGATGTGAATGGATGAATATAAATGAATCAATATAGTGACAAAGATGATAGTGATCAACTATAGACCATATAGAATGAATATGAAGTGAATCAATTTCCTGTGTTTTATAATAACAACATATAAAATGATTAACTCAATTATGTGCTTCAAAAATAGTCCAATGAACTTGTGAATGGATGAGATCAAATAATGATCAATATGATGCTCCAAATCATAGCACTTTCAGTGACAGAAAAGTTCTAAAAGGGCATGGAATAAAACTTTGGTGCATGTGACTTCTTGTGGTAAACAAATGAGGTATGCTTGTACTCACCGGAAGCGCAAGTTAAATGCGCCTATAATAATAATCTCCGGGGAGGACCCTGGTGGTCATCATGGATCTGGTCACAGACTGGGGGGGGCTCCACTGACACACACACACACAAAGGAAGCACTCCAGACCTCGCAGCAGAACCAATCCAGCATACAGCGACAGCTTCTTAACCCCTTGGCACTGGCGCCTCCCGGCCCTTTAAGGGTTTCAGAAGCCGGGAAGCAGGGTTTTAGGGTCATGTGACTGCCGTGAGTCGCCGTTACGGCGGTCACATGATCGGGAAAGGTCTTGATCGAAAGAGGAGATCGGGACCTTTCCGTGAGTACCGAACATGTGTGCTGGGAGCGTGCAGGGCTCACGCTCTCAGCACATATGTATTTCTTAATTGCACACAAATGTGCGGCCGCTTGGCGTCTAGGCCCAGACGCCGGGAGGCCGCACATTTGTGTGCGGCTGGCATGAAGAGGTTAAATACGATTCCAACCACTGTGCACCGACTGTCAATCTTGCAATGCCTCATGGGACTTGTAGTTTGGCAATAGCTGGAGGGCCGCCAGTTTGACACCCGTGGTCTAGAGACTAGAGGACGATGATGACGGCAACAAACCTGTAAGCTTGGACACAATCTTCCATAGAGCTTGCACAGATTTGGACTCCTTGGTTGGATTCCAGAAGGAGTGGCAGACAAACTCATGGAGGAAGTATAAGTGGGTGGGATGTGAACATTCAAGGGGGGCTGTCACTTTATCCTGAATGGTCTTGGTGACAGTCTCTTTAAGCAGCACTAGTTCTGGGAGGCAAAGAAGTGTGCGGGGCTCCAGGAGGTCTCCTTCCTTTTCTGTCTAAGCCATGGAAGTATTTCAGATTCCTCCTAGCCCGTTACATAAATGCACATGGAGCACAAAACAATTTGTCATCTAATCCGTTATTTATCTCCCCAGATCAGTTTTTTATTGTGGAGCAAGATATCAAAGAATTCACTCAGCAGAAGGTGGATAAAAGATTCCATGGAATGCTGAACATCCTGCGACATTGCCATAGAATGCGGGAGCTGCGTGGTAAAGGAATCGTGCGCTATGTTGTTTGTTAATTGCCAGAAACACATCAGAAATGATTCAATTGCTTCCTATCAGGAAATGATAAATATTTATTAAATTTTTTCTAATTAAAAGAAAACTGTGCTGAGACAATACATTGGCTCCCTGGCCATTGATCTAAAAGCTTCAGTACTTTGAATTGCTTATCTGGAATCCTGACGTTACCTAAAGTCCAACACCAGCCAAAATGTTTTGTTTTAGATAGTGAAAGGTCTAAGCCTTTGTCGGTGGTTTATTGCTGTTTGTGTCCCCATTGGGGTATATTTCTCTTACTTCCTGTAACACAGAAGTGTTAGGACACTTCTCATACAGGGACAGACAACCATATTTTTGGTAGCGCTGGGAAAGGTTAGAACATCTGGCAGTGGATTGTATTACTTGTCCTGGGGATGCCCATACCTCCCATTTCTTGCACGGGCATTACAATGACTGAAAGTTAGGCTCTATGTACACAGGACACTTCTGAACGATGGAAAGTGACTGCTGGAAAACATTAAAAAACGTCTGTTTAGCCGCGTTTGCATATCACGTTTTATTTGCGTTTATGAGCTTTGGCGTTTAGAAGCGTTTTTTAAAGATAACCTCAGGAGACCTTCCAAAATGCCCAGAATGCACTAAAAAAACAGTAGAAATTTAACTATTTCAGACATTTCGAGAGAAATAGATAGAGTAGTAGCAGAGAGTGCAGTATTTGTTGAGATTAGCAGTCTTTCTTCTTTTTTCTTTTTCTTTTTTTTTTGTGGTGTTTGGATATGTTCTGGCTCATTTCTGTGCAGACATTATTGCAGCAATGTCTGACATATTTTCTTTCATGCGAAACCTCAAAGTATGGTGTACCGGGTCCATTTGGGTACCGGGAAAACGCTTTGCTTGTATTTTTCATGATGAAAAAAGGCTCAGAACAGCATCTGGAAATGGAAGAGTTAAAAACATTTTCCAAAAGCAAACACTTATAAACGCGGTTAGCCTCATTTACAAGCGTTTGGCGTTTGAAAACGCTAATAAAATCTACTCCTGAATGCAAGTTTGGTGAGTTAAAAAAAAAAAAAAAAAAAAACGACTGTAAACTCAACTGCCTGTAAATGAAGATGTGTACATGGACACATAGGAAAACATTAGGGGAGTTCAGGGGCTGCTGAAAAAAAACGCAAAACTCCTAAACGTGCGTTTATCAGCTGCAGTGTACATGGAGCCTAAAAGACAGGCATGCAGACAGACCTCGTGTGGTAGAATGGTGCGGTGTGCTGGATCTCCTCAAGCAGGAGGTGTTTACAGTCAGGTCTTAACCAGTGTTGATGGAAATAATTCTCCTTAGTGGCTGTAAAGGCTGCATTCTAGGCATGAAGGAAAAAAAACCTGTGTGCTGCTCCTCCCCCACAGCCCCTCCTAATACTCACCTGAGCCCCCTCTCGATCCATCGATATGCACGAGGGCCTTGGCTGTCCTGGGGGGGGTCTCGGCATCTCTCTCTCTCTCATTGGCTGTGACACAGTTGTCATTCGAAGCTAGTTACCCAATAAGGAGTGAGCAGGGGGCAGGGCCAAGTTGTAGATCTATGGACATATAGGGGTTTATTTACTAAAGCTGGAGAGTCCAAAATCAGACTCCTTTCTGCATAGAAACCAATCATCTTCCAGGTTTCATTGCCAAAGCTTCATTGAACAAGCTGAGGTTAGAAGCTGATTGGTTTCTATGCAGAAGGGAGTCTGATTTTGGACTCTCCAGCTTTAGTAAATAAACCCCATAGAGTGGGGCTCTATAGCAAACATGTGCCCATGCCCTAATAGAAAACGGTTTGCTATTGGGGGCATTGGTCAAGGGAGAGGCACCCAAGAAGAAGAGGATCAGGGCTGCTTTGTGCAAAACCACTGCAAAGAGCAGGTAATCATGGAATGTGTGGGGTTTTTTTTTGGTTTTTTTTCAAACCGAAGCTTTAATATCACTTTAACCGCCTCCCGCCCGTCATATAGTAATATGACAGATGCAAGGCGGTTCTCTCGTTCTGGGAGAACGTCATATGACGTCCTCCCATACTCACTGCACATGCACGGCTCTGGGAGCGCGCGGCGATCGGCAGTGCGCTGTGTCCCTCGGACACAGCGGATCACCGTTCTACGGAAAGCGCTGAAGATGTCGGCTCGGTCATGTGATCAGCTGTGTCCAATCACAGCTGATCACATGTAAACAGGGAAATGCCGGTTATCGGCTTTTCTCTCCTCATGAGCTGTCATGCTGACAGAGGAGAGGAGAGCCGGTAATCGGCATTCCTCGGAGGGGACATCTACACAGATCATCAGGGCACTGATGATCAGTGTGCCCTGATGATCTGTGTAGCCCCAGCAGCACCACCTGTCAGTGTCCATCAGTGCCAGCTCTGTGTTCATCCATGCCACATATCAGTGCCACATATCAGTGCCCATCTGAGCTGCCTTTCAGTGTCACCCATCAGTGCCAGTCAGTGTCCCCTATCACCTATCAGTGCTGCACAATCAGTTCCACCTATCAGTGCACATCAGTGCTGCCTATCAGTGCCACTCAGTGCCGCCTATCAGTGCCCGTCAGTGCTGCCTAACAGTGCCAGTCAGTGCCACCTATCAGCGCCACCTATCAGTGCCGCCTATTAGTGCCATATGAGTGCTACCTTTCAGTGCCCATCAGTGATGCCTGTCAATGCCCATCAGTGCCACCTACCAGTGCCTCCTCATCAGTGCCACCTATCGGTGTCCATCACTGCAGCCAAATTAGCGCACATCAGTGAAGGAGAAAAATCACTTATTTACAAATTTTATAACAAAAACTAAGAAAAAAAACGTTTGTTTTTTTTTTTTTTCAAAATGTTCAGTGGTTTTTGGTTTGTTTAAGAAAAAAAAAACCCTGAGGTGATTAAATCCGACCAAAATAAAGCTCTATCTGTCACAATAAAAATTTCATATGGGTACAGTGTTGCATGACTGTGCAATTGTCATTCAAAGTGCTACAGTGCTGAAAGGTGGAAATTGCCCTGGGCAGGAAGGGGGTAGAAGTGCCCTGTAGGCGAGGGGTTAAACACTCCTACCTGGAGTGGTGGCTGAATGTTGGCTCTTTTGTTCAAGTAGGGACTGGGTGATGAAGAAGGAAAGTGCCAGAATCCTAACTTGGATAGACCTGAGCTATAATATTCTTCAAGTTCTTGTATCATTAAGAAAACAATGTGTTTTGGGGTTTAGATGGTCCTCATCCTTCAGGACTTAAGAAAACTGAACAAAGTGCATACTGGACTGATAAAATTGTAAGTAACCTGAGGGGTATTTTAGAATGATCCTTCAAGATTCCAGTTAAGAAACCTTGCTTGACCATACCTTAAAGTGATAATAAAGTCTGGTTTTTTTTTTATTAATATAACAAACATAATCACCTGCTCTGCGCAGTGGTATTGCACACAGCGGCCCTGGTCCTCCTCTTCTCGAGTCCTCCGCCAGTAATCTTGGCTCCTCCTCCACTTCATTTTTGTGTCCCCATAGCAAGTCGCTTGCTATGGGGCACACGGTGTCTGCTCGTTCCCTAGCTGTGTTCCTTTGCAGCCACGCTCCATAGACACGCACATTGGGACTTCCCACCCCTCACCTCCTCCTCATTTGATTGTATTTGATTGACAGCAGCAGGAGCCAATGGCTCCTGGTGCTGTTCGAGTTCCTGTGTGAAGAGGAAGAGAGGGAGGAAAAGATGCAGCTGTGCACAGCACTGGATCTGGTTTTCCCTCTTTTCTCCTCCACACAGGGAACGGGGAGGACTGAGAAATAGAAAAGATTTTTTTTAACCATGAACTCCGGTTCACATATATGCGGGCCGTGTTTTGCACGGGCACGGAAGCCCGTTCATTTGAATGGACTCCCATGCCCCGGGACATGCAGGGAAGAAGTCCCTGCACTTCATTGGAAAATGCAGCCCACACGTGAACCTCGGTTTCCAGTACGCTTGTGATTTCCAGTGTGGGTGGCATGACATTAGAACTAATGGCACCCGCTTGCGGGTCTGCATTTCTCTGTGCAGGTGGTGCGGCCGCACGGATCCGCAGCGGCACCACCCACACAGATGTGAACCAGGGGTTATGCAAGTATTGGATCCCTCCAATTTTATCAGTCCAATACATGATTATGTCAACAGTACCAACAACTAAAGGTGGGGAGAACATCCCCCGTATATCCAACTGAGTTTTTATTTCCCTTTTTTCAATCAAGAAGACAAAGTGCCTTGAGATAATGGACACACAGGCTTTTTATTATGATAGGAGAGCCTGAATAAAATGAACTATGGACTTTATAAGTTCTGCTGTTGCTTTCCATCTTACACACCTAGAACTAAAAACCTGAAAGAAATGTTAAAGGACAAGTTTGGTACAAGTTGTCCTTTAAGGCATGCTCCAGCCCACCTAGAGGAATCCTTGCCCCCTGTTCCAGTGATCTTTGGTCTTCTGAAAAGGTCACTGAGGTCCTATTCATCCTGCTAATGCACATAATGGCTTCATTTGTTCCTATGGGAAGCTGTAATCAGGGGGGCCTCCAGCAGTCCTGTGGAGTATTGTCTCTTTTCACAGAAATGATTAAGACTGTGGCACTAATGCACAGGATGAGGAGGACCCAGCAAGGACTCTTTCAAAAGAAAGACTGTGGGACTCCGGGAAAGGCTGCACAGTGAGGATCACTGGAATTGGGGGACAGAGGTAAGTACTGGACTAAATGGCTGCACTCGGAGAGTTAGGGGCATGAATTAAAGGGCAACTCATACCAAAGCTACAGCTGTGTTTTAAGCCTTCTCATTAAGAACGACATTTGGCTGGAGATGAGTTTCAATGCCTGCTTGTTCTCTTGCGGTGATTCAAAAGTATTCCGACCAGAGTTAGCCAGGCAACTCGCATTTCCAGAACTAAATTTGTTCAGGCAGCCTCCATATTTACCTCCTTAGTCTCCAGTCAATGCATTCACCAAAAAACTACAAACTTGGAAGACACTCTGCC